CAAATCGAGTGATAAAGCACAAGATGGAGAGGGATTGGGCCTAATAGGAGGGAGGCAAAGAAAGTGAACCTGTGTGGTCAACACAGAGTACACAATCTAAGTGTGCATACATACCTTTTCCAACAATTCTGACCTGATAAGAAATGACAACAAGAACGCCACTGTTGTCGATTAGTCACCATGTCCTCCAGTATCCCCACTAAGCCAGTTGCAGTCTTTCGGACCCCAACCTGGAAGACGAGAGACACCGATTCTATTTAATCGCTCTATGCATTTCTTCATGCCTCGCTTCCACGTCATCTGTTGACCACCACGCGGTTTCTTCCAAGCTGGAGCCATTACTGCGAATAAGGCGCGGTGTGGTAGACGATGGCTGGGCATGTGCAATACGCATCCTAACCAGCGAAGCCTTCTAATCTGAATTCGATGGGACAACGAATTCTCCATCGAATCATTACCAAGTAGGCAACTCCTTACCTCAGAGTTGCTTACACGCTCGCTCCATCCAACCCTCACCGAACTATGTAAACATCGACAGTCGAATACTTCTAGACGACAAATATCTTCCACGTGCAAATTTAGGGTCTCGCGACCATAGAGCAGAACTGGCCGCACACTGGCGCAGTATACACGACCTTTCAGTTTCAACGAAACGTCGCGTCTGCACCAAACGTGTTTCAATCCTACATAAGCTGCTCGGACCTAGGAACTGCTACCGTCATTTGAAACGCAGTTACCTAAGTAGGTGAAGCCTTCCACTACAGCTAATTCTTGACCATCAAGCATCAGCGCTGGGGTAGACGACATCCAGTCTTGTAACATCACTTTGCACTTTGAAGGTGCAAAGCGCATGCCGAAAGGGGATACAGAACTTGCTACAAATAGCCATGTAAATTTTGAATGAAGGCCCACGATAAATTTCACGGTGTTTGCTTCTCTCCAGTGAAGTGTTTCCTCATACTTTTCCCTTCATATGATTTTCGCCGCATTTGTCTCATTCAAGCCTCGCAATTGATTTCAGACTAATTGCCTTTTATCTCCCACATCGGATGGGCAATGCTCAGGTTAGGCGTAGAGTTTTAGGTAATCGCAGTTGTCCATTCTAGCAAGTGGTCGACCTCCATAGACTACGTTGGTTGGGACATTTTTTGCGCATGTCACCAGATAGGTTGCCACTGCGAGCGATGTTTGCCGATGCAGGTAGTGGGTACAAAAATGTCAAGGACGATTAAACTAAGACCTGGTATGAATGTTTGAAAATCCTTCTTCTTTTTCATTTTACTTCCTTTTATTGAATATACAAAGGTACAGTTTTCCGGAAGGGAAAGCGGCCAATCATATGGCTGCCATTCAACACACAATGGGGCAAGTCAGGCGGTGTTGGTGGGATTCGAACACATCCTCGGAGCGCTAATTTGGTGACGTTACCATCGGGCCACTACCACAAGAAACTAGGCAACTCGGTCACTTAGGCCCGGTTCAGCTCCCTGGATGGGGACCCCGAGATCATGGTCACCGGTGATTAGAGACATTGAGCGATATCACAAACAGTAGCGTTCCTGCATCTGCTCATTGTTCTTACAACCTCAGTCTATATGAACTCTCTTTCTTCCGCTTGAATTTGCTCTCAACCTTCCAATCTTTATTCTGCTGTTTCATCGAAATGGTTGACCAAAAAACAGCAATCAAAATCGGCGCACGAAAGTGCATCGGTAATGGTTGTAAAAACAAACTGGATTTCTCACATCATGGTGTACGTGCTTTAGTAACAAAAAAGTTAAGTCAAACCATGCTTTATGGTGCCAACACAGCGTAAGCCCTAAACCGCGAGGCAGTGTGTGAAGAACGCGGTCCCTTCAGCCAAACGTGGTTCACACTTCCAGGCTGCCCGATACACCCTAGTTTCTAGCCCAACCGATAATTTTCGCACCTATAATCTCAGTATCAGTTCGTGCACCTACTAATAGTCTTACAATCAATGCTTTCCCGCTCCCAGCCCCTCACGGGACTTGCGACCTGTGCTTCATCTACCTTGTATGTCTGATATTGGCGTTTCCACCAGATTTTATGGGCGAGAATTTACTTGGGTTTGGAGTGTGATTTTTCCTGCCTTTGAAGGATCTGGTTTTTTGAGGGCAGACCTGGAGGACTCGTTGCGGTGATTCTCTGGGGATTTCTGGGATTGATGCTTCCGTTACCGATAAACTTGACAAAAAGACCAATTTTAAAATGATATAATAGTGCACTCTGTTTCTGAAGTATATTCTATTACTCAATGACTCGTTGTATCACCACTTTTTCAGGAAAGTCGGAATCATTTACGGACAAACGTATCTCCGGGTGGTCGTTTTGATCTGTACGTATATTCTCTGATTAACACTTGTCCTTATCTTGACGAGGTCTTCCCACGCACCGTTGAGGTGAAACAGTAGATCCATTCTTCCGGACGAGCCTATTGCATCATTTGTACATGCGTATCCTTTCCCATCGCATTCATGGAACCGACACGCAGTTCAGAGGAGAGTGTTGGTGGATCTGTAAAACGGCCGACCACGCTAAACTTGCTGCTTAGTCCCATAGAATCACCGTTCCGCACACCATTTGAACTTACACCCCAACGGACTGTGATCGAAAAGTTGATTGAAGCGTTCAAACAGTCACCACAATCCCTTGGAGGATTTTTCAGCTCAGATGATGCGGAACAGCTTGGCAAGTAAGTAAATTGTATCACTGCCCTTTCTTTTTGATGTTGTGCTGAGTTTTTAGTTCACAGTGCACGGTTTGTTTATTACACACCTTTGTGTGATGAACAGCAGGAGGTAAGCGCCATCATCAGGAGGACCGGCAACCTAAATTCAGGGATTTATAGTAGCGAACTGCATATGGCCCCATCGGCATAGTCTCGGTACTGAGTCGGATGACAACGAAGCTGCCTACCATCAACGTTTGGTATTGGTACTGGGGTTTGAACCTAGAACCCTAGCTCAGGTCAGTTTTTACAAACACTAACCGTACACTTTCGTGTGCCGGTTTTGGTTACTGTCTCATGACTTCCCATTTAGATTCAGGATTAAAGGGAAGATTAGAATGTTCAACCCCTACATTCTAAAGCATGCTAGTGTCAGGGACTCAAGCTGATGGACCACCACTACCCATCAGCTGGAATAAGGATTACACATCAATACGCATATTCGATCAGTAAATAGGCCTATGAATGGGTTCTAGGAACTAAACACTTTGTCTCAGTTGAACGAGATCTGCCAGCTGGTGCGCTTCTCTGCAAACATGTAATCGCTCACTTGACTGATACCGTTTGTTCGCCAACTTAAAAAGTATTTAACAGTAACGTATAGTAAAATAGAGTCAAAAATCTTCAGCTAATCGAAAATAAACGAGCCGATCTTAATACCATACCTATCCTATTCAGATATTGTGTAGCTTCACCCCAATTTGTTATTCATCATGCTAATACTTCAGTTTGTAAAGGTCTTTCGTTAAGTTAACGAACTTGTGTCGAGAAATTAGCATCTAATGGAGTCGCGCAAGAATAGTTGAATCAGCAACAAAATGGCTGGGAATAAAACGGGGAATGGTGGTAACAGCTTACACGTGCCTACAGGTTTCCAATCATTGCTTATGGTTGTTATGGACATCTGGTACGAGTATCATCTTTGATTTGGGTAGACTGTCTTGTCCGTCAAACATATTCCACCCCTCTGGTCTCTTTCTCTTACCTAAGTTTCACCTATGACTTCCAGAAGCTGATGAACGTATCAGCGTCAAACCACTCGATAGACAGTGTAAACTAGGTTGAATTTAACCGAGACAACATACAACGCGAAAACATCTACCCCTTGATGAGCGAACGGAATCTGTTGCTTGATCCAACTATCGCATTTAACAAACTGGCCCATCTATGTAAGGATACATGGCTCATTGGGTTCCCGTCAATTTTTATCGAATGACGAATAGTGTCTCCCCAGGAGTCATCTTGTGTCAACACACATGCAAAAGCTACATGTGCACCCCGCGATAAATCTGAGTGCCGTTGGTGATCCTTCTTGACTAAAACTTCCTTGCCACCTCGTGATCTTCATGAAGTCGGCTTATCCTGTTCAAGTGAACCAGTCGAAGCAAATTGAGTTAAGTAACCGTCAAGAGGTATTGAGTTAAAATACATACAGCAATACTTTTCTATGCATGGTATCCAGTGTACGCAACATACTTCATTTCCCCCTGTTATCATACGAGTTCCACCACGTTTGTATTAACTACATCTTTCCTTTGTTTACTCCGTTATGAGTACTCTTCTCCGCGCAAAATTGTCATTTGAAACCAATCCTGTACATGCAAATCTCTGTTTTTTTTAATCTCCACTACAGTAACTTTTTTCAAAGACTACTTGAGATCAAAGATTCCGGATGTCTCACCCCGACCGTTCGTTCAGCCTTTCCCCTGTCAGGAACCGAAGAGAACAGTTTACCAGATTTGGATACCCCAACACTTTACAATTTCATATGCCGTCAAGCTGCGGTTCAGCAACAACAGCAGCAGCAACAACAACAACAGGCGAGCGTATCCACCCCGATTATTCTTTGTTCACCCACGCGCCTGTCACAGTCGTTGACAGAAGCGCTGAGTAAACTGGGGAATGGGGCTGGTGACCAGTCTATTACTATTGATACCTCATTGGGATGTGATCTGAATTCAGTTCAAAATGCCATTCAAAACACATTATCCATCACACTCCCTGGCACATCGAAAGATTTGACTAACTTGCAGTTATGCAGTGGACCTCATCAATTCGATCTAACCAACACTTCTGTGTCCGTAACTAATCCAACTAACGCTCCTATTTTATCTCAGCCTTCCGGATTGAAGCTAGAACAGATGGCAGCTGAACTAAACACTGCTCTCACCACTGACCCAAACCAATCCCTCACCGATCCTTTGTTCTGGCCGTTGCTTATCCAAACCTCCATTGCGAATGATCAATCGGCTTCCCAGCAGTTTGATACGCGCAACACAGTAGGTCAAATGAGTTCTCCGCTAGACGATCATGATGCAACTAGACCCTCGTCTGTGACCAATGGAGCCGATACCGTCGGCGATTTCGATCGGGGCTCTATAGCGGCGGCTGGCAACACATTAGCTTTTCGTTCCTCCTCCTCTCCAGTTTCCTCCAATTCCTCAATTTCACAACCGCATGCTCCGGATTCTGGTTCACGAGACACGCGACTGGATCCTACAGAACAGCTTCGTATGCGTCTCGAGCGTAAACGTGCACGCAATCGCGACGCGGCTCGCAAGTGCAGAGAGCGTAAAATTGTCCTTATCAAGCGTCTTGAAAAGGAAGCAGCTCATCTGACCGAGGAAAATAAAGCTCTGCGTCATCGGGTGTTGCGTTATTTGCGTGAGGTGGATCGTCTGAAGTTGTTTGTAGTTCATCACTTACAAAACGAATGCCCGGCTGTGGGAAGCAAACATGCTTAGACCCCTTGCCCGTTCTTTTATCCTCCATCAGACCCGATAGTTTGGTTGTTGCGTGGTTATTTTTGTAGTGCTCACTCATCTCTCCACTTCTGTCTATGTACCAACCTCTCTTTGTTCACTTCTTTTCCCCACCTCAGCCACTACCAGTGCACACACACTTGATCACTGATGTGTTCATGAATGTGTACTTACCTATGATGACATATGCACATACAAATCAGACACCCGTGCCCATCTAGCAGCGACCTACGCACACCAATGAATGATCATAGCAGATAGGTTGCCGAGCTTTCTTTGTCCATTCACCCCGAGTTAATCCACTTTCGTTCTTTTCCCTCCAATTTCTCGAGAAGTCAGTACTGTTTTTCCACCATGGATCACTTTTTCCAGTTAATTGGAAGCGCCCGATATCCTCATTGTGGTTTACTCTGTGTCCCTGGGCATTTTCGCATGGACTGTTATATGACCTCCAAGGATGGTGACCCCTCGAAGTGTGGGTATTGAATAGTGATATCCCTCATCCAAAGACCACTCCCCTCAGTCAGTCTGTGCATACCGAATATACATTCACACTGATATGCATGCACGCACGCACGCACTCATCTTCTTACGTTGTTTTTTGTTGTTTGTTAGCCTTCGCCTGTCTTATCAGAGAGAGAGAGAAAGAAAGAAAGAAACGAGAGAATTCACCAACTTTAACCA